ATTTTCGCGCGATTATTTTCTAGAACTTTCGACGTGGCTTAACTCAACAGCAATGCATGGATGAACTTGGTTCAATTTTTGGGGATGAAGCTCCATCCGGGACCAGTGTTTATCGGTGGTACAGTGAGGTCGTAGTTCACTCGAAGACGAATGTCGCGGAAGTCGTCCAAAATCAGTTGTCGTTCCGGAAAAGGTTGATACTGTGCACAAACTAATAGGGCAAGATCGTCATGTGACCTATCGTGAGATTGAGGCAACCTTAAGCACTAGTGGGACTAGCTTACATTCAATTTTGCATGAACATTCGACTGTAAAAAAATTTGTTGGCGTTGGACCCCACGCCACGACAATGCGAGCTCCAACACATCGGCTCAAACAACCGCATTTTTGAGCACTCAAAACAACGATTTGACAGGTCGTCGGCCATGTATTCCCCGGGTGACTTCTTCTCATCCCGTACGTAAAAAAATGAGAGTTCAACGTTTTTCGACACCTGAAGAAGCCGTTGATGCGTTCAGATTGCATGTTTTAGAGTTACCTTAATCAGAGTGGCAAAAGTGCTTCGAAAATTGGTTCGAGCCCATACAAAAGTGTATAGATCTTAATGTGGAGATTTTTGAAAGGCAGTCAAGCGATTTTCAATGAATAGTATTTGTTCCTGTTCTCAAATCCCGAAATATAAAAGGCAACCTACGTACTGCTCTCGAGTTCCCACTGTGATCCAGTTTTGCTTGAGCGTGTTTCGCACTTGACTACTCTTTCTAACAGTCAAGTTGTTTTTGTCCATTAGCAGCAGACGAGACCGCAGCAATACCATTTTTCGGTATGGTTCGGCAATAACCCGATAAAAGTACGCTATGTATAGCCATTTCTCAAAAGTCACAAGCAGTTCCCCCTGTTTGTGTTTTCAGGTGAAGAATCTTGAGATCTTGAGCTCGACGATATCTAGAGTATAGCTTGCTATCGGTTGGGTTGGTGTTGACGATAAGAGGAGGAAGAGAAATTTTTAAAAAATGCCCGCAGTTTCCCATTCACCTAAGGACAAGCTTACAGTGGGCACTGGTTCTGCATCGTAATGATCAACAGGGTGTAGCATGATTTAATTCGATACCTCGATATATAGTACACCTCGAAAAGGTCCAAGTACCGCTGCGTTCAACAGGAAATTGAGGAAGCCTTGTAAGAGATGCAAAAATTCTAGATTTTCAAGTCTGGAAAGTGTTCGGATGTGGTGTTTCTTATGGTGCGTTTTCTGCCTTATTACTGTCCAAGTTTGCAACCGGTTTGCCTTCTATGTTCGCTACTGTAGCGCACCTCAGTGTGTACATTAAATGAATAATTGAATATATCTGGTGTGCCTTGAAATGATATATTTTTTTGGGAATTCTAAAGCGAAGCATTGATTTGAGTGGTCTGGAAACTCATCGACTTAACCAGAAACGAAGGCACTGCAATGACAGTCGAGGGGCCACCAGGGCCAAACTCTACTTATTCCTGTCGGACAACCAGCCGAAGAATAAGTCCTTAGCCACGCTAAACATTCCAAATACAGGGTACGGCTATGATCAAAATCGGGTACTTCCTCAGCTTCGCGACTCTTGACTAGCCATTAAGCACAGAAATGGAGGCCGTGATAATCGCTTCACATATAGGCCATATTCGCCATATTCGTAAACGTGCAAATTCCACGTACTGCTCAAAAGGCGCAAGAAAGCAAAAACAGCCTTCCTCATTTATCTTCATTCTGACTGTTGTGAAAGTTACAAGAGGCATAAAACCAATCCTGTTGAGGTCACGATGCACTACACTGCAAGTGCTTTTCCTTTTTTTATGCTCTAGAGTCTTTCAATTCGGGGAATTTGCACTTAACCGAATTTACCTATTATGTGCATCTTTTATTCTCACCTTTGCACTTCCGTTAGTCTTTACTTTTTTCGTCACATATAGTCGCTGGTAATCCGATTCCGAAAGGACGCTGCAGCGTTTCGAATTCTGCACGGTGCGAAAATAAGGGCAGCCCTATAAGTTCATATTTCGTAAAGCTAATTACACATAGATGAAAATACAGGTAATGCTCAGGGAGACTCACCACAGAAGGGCAGTAGTAATATTCCTGCGAGAAGATAGAATTTGAAAAATTGAAACTTGGTCCAGTCATAAGCCGATTCCACATCCATTTGGCCGCGTAACTGTGACCTTTTCTGGAAGTAGGACATAGTAGAAGCTTCGACTTAATATACATGCTTCCATCGGCGTATCATTTTTCACAGATGTTCCTCATGGAATATTATCTATGTCGTTAAATATAACGCTCGCTCATGTTCAAACCTCATTACCTCACTTATTTATTAAGTTATTTATTCATTGCCTTCCAAGTTTGCGTCTAGGTCGATCCAAGCTTGGGGGGGGGGATTCGGTTAAGTTCCATATATCGTAGAAATGAGCTTGTTTCCCTCTACACGGCCGTAACTTTAAAATCCTCGAAAACTTAAAGGTGGTATCGCTTGATTCCATTTTCTCAAGTTCGGAGAAGTATTCTAAGTATAATTTACCTTTCAGAGGCGTGACGTCGAGTTAACCTTGTCAAAGGAAAACGGAATAACGGAATAACGGGTGTGATGATACTGAATAGTAACGAAGAAAGAAGGAAATTTGCGGTATTTGCGAGATATGCATAGCGCTTATTGCAACAAGTTAAATTGGGGGTTAAACGAGATTATTCCAGAAGAGGCGGTGTTTGATAATAAAATTCCATTTCATTGTAGGTAGAACAGTTCTGCTAGTAGAGGACTAAAATTATCTCTCTGTAGAACTCCCATACAGTATTCGAAATGGGACCCACAAAAATGCAGTTGCTACTACCTGATATACATTCAACGTGGTAAAGCAGATCCTGTATTTTAAATTTTTTTATACTTAGTTGTGTTGATAATTTTACCTTTATTGTAAACATGATGTTACCGTTATCGTCATCACGTCGACAGTTCCGTAGGTTCCCTTGAGACACTAATGCACTACCTGTTTAACAGAGTTTTTCCTGGTACTAGCAGAGACTCCGGGTCTCTGGAGTGTATCGAAAGCAAAGGAATCGCCAGTACTCCAAAAGTCGTGTGATTCAAGCTGTTGAATTCATCCTGGAATATCGTTGAAAAAATCAATCTCCCACGAGATAGTAGTTTCTGGAATGTGAATCGTTTCCTATTGGCCATTCTCTGCGTTGGATGCTAACTTTTTCCTCTAAAGTCAGGGTTTTCAAGCGGAATAGATTATATAGCACATCAAGCATTCCTGCCAAGGATAAATTAGAAATTACTTGGTAACTTAGGACCTCAACCACACATAAGTGATCAATTCGCTTTTAAATCCCATCTCTATGATGTTCGAAGCCATATGTGGAAGTTGTCATGTGCACGAAACAACCAAATTGGGTATTTCCTTTTCGACTTGATCTTCCTGTTACTTCTGCTATTTCGCCGTGTACGCGATACAAAAGTCTCACAAAGATGAAAAGTTAAGGGGCGAATTTCGGCCTTGGCAAGGCTCGACGCGCACTCTGCTTGACCGTGGCACTGCGCTTTTTCCCTTGCACTAAAAAAACTGCTTGCTCTCGCCTGCTTGATGACTTAAGTTTCTTCTTTTCTAAAGAAAAAACTCTTTGAAAACCCTCAGTTTACGCAGATCTCAGCGGATTCAATCAGAGTTTCTGTGTAGATCGACGACTACTCGACATGCTTTTTATTGTTCGCTTATTGAGCGCTTTTCCAGGCACAGAATGGCATTCTACAGTGTGTAGTTATTTACGTCTCACCTTAAATAGAAAGTATGCAAAAATTGGAGAGCTTCTGTAACGTCTATCGTCAAACGAGTTTGCAGGGGTGTATCTGCTTGTAATGTAATGCTTGCATTGCCAAAGCCGTGCATAGCTGTTCTAAACTCTCTATTGAAAGGAATGTCGGAGCACTATGTATTTTTTACTATTTGTTCATTCGACTACTTCGACTAGCAATGTGGTCATGACTGACGAGAAACACGTCAGTTCTAGGAAGTCCTATCAAAGCAAGCCATCACTGCTCGTTGTCACTCAATATTGCGTCGCTGGGTACTGTCTTCGACAAAGTCTCCTTTTGAACCAGGTTTTTTTGCGTTCGATTCACTCGTTCAAACCTTTTCGCTGATTGTAACGTCATAATGCGAAGGAGAAATTATTGCCAGAACTTACCTGAACTTGAACAAAGACCTCACGCCATTTCCCAATCAACATACGGTACTTCTTCTTTGAAACCGATTCCAAACAGCGGCATCGTGGACTGGAACATGACTACTTCATATCTTATAACTGATTGCACAGAGCTAGAGTAAGCGAAATGGCGTGTAGCTTGTCATTTTGGCACGATCTGCGAAAAAAACAAAAGTTAAAAACCAAAATTAGGACGTTACGTTGCTGGTTAATTGAGCGATCTCACTCCGCACTTTCTTGAGATTTCTTCTATAGTAGAGAGCATCGCAAAGAGAGCACACTTATCCGAGGGCTTTTTGAAACTGGTACTTATAACGTGACTAATGGCTCAATTCCGAAGCTAACAGGCTCGAGAGCCGACGTTCTAATGGTAAAGATGACAAGCTTTGATGAGTCAATTTTCGCGATTTTTCGTTTTTTTCAAAGGATGGTTCAGAGCAATAGCCGATGATTAAAAGTGTCGGCCCAGGTCGCACTCGGAAGGGCTGCAAATCCTATTCCTGCCGGGGCAACACTATGAAGAAGCAGTGGCCAGAGAAATCGAGGGATGTGTTCAACTCTACTACAGTAGAGACCAAACGAAATGGTGTGGCCATAGCAGCGTCGGAATCCCTTAAGGGTCCTGTTTTCACTGTCGACAGGCCATCGGCACATTTGTTGTGAGGATAAACACGAAAGAGTGGTACCAGCTGCTGCACGAATTGCGAGCTACTCGAGAGGCGCTAGTTTTGTCTCATCCGTCTATGTCGCAAGCAAATGTAGTCTAGTAAGCCATCCTCGCTCGAGAATCACGGCACGGCGTTCCTTTCTTTCAGAGTTTTCTTTGAGGAGTCTTACCATCGTGCTGAGGGCTGTTCTGGTCTTCGTTTAAGGATCCGAGAAAGGCAGCAAGTAGCCGCCCTGGTTGAACTGTGAGTATGAAATCGGTTGACGTGTCCGGCAAACCTGATTTAGCTCATTCTTCGATCGGGGTGACGAAAACGAATCCTCGATTTCCCTTCGCACTTTCTTGAGACTTCTGTCAGGGCTGTGAAAAGATGAGTAAACAGGAGAATATTCCCCATTTCCTAGGCTACTCTTTCAGAATTCTTGAATGCTGCCCCCGCTTTCCTCTGCTAAGCTATGGAGCCCAGTCTTTTATAATCTTGACTTCTTGAACAAGCTTCACGTAGCAAGGGCATTCGGATTACTCATAACATTAAATGCAAAAAGAACAGTAGGTATCAACCGTCTTTCATAACATCGTCCTCGTGGGCTTGAAGGTACATTTCACGATGAAATGGCTCATAAATTTCTCGCTAGGACAAATTTGGGGCCTCGTATAGCATATAGGGCGCTGTCAGGTCGGGAAACGGCAGAATCTTTGTGGTATGTTCTCCGACGCTCTTTGAGGAAGTTCGGAGGTAAATTATACAGAGCAGTGATAAGGCCCACGATGCTCTACGGCAGTAGCGATTGCTGTCCGGTGGGCAGACAGGATCAAGAGAGCAACCTTCTTTGCCGAGATGAAGTTCTTGAGGTGTGCGTGCAACGGTTCTGCAGACAGCTTCTGATTAACTGGAGTTGAGAGAACAGCGCACGCGACGGTATGAACACGTGTGGCCCAAGGAACCGCGATGAGCCCTACAAGAAAGATTGAAAGACGTGATAGTGACCTACAGAAGATGCCGTTGTCCAGAAGAAGTAGCGACAGCTGACAGAAACAGCTAACCCTGCGAGTGTGTGGGATTAATGCTAAAGAGAAGACGAGAAGAAAGGTCCAATAATGGCAATGGCTGATGGTAGTATAGGTGGAAATGATGCCATTCAAAAAGATCAGCTGAATTCTCGTTGTTCCGTACCGCCAATTTCGTTGGCAGAACCTTAGCTTAACCTCAAAGCAGTCTAATCACAGCTAACGACCTCGAAACACTCTGATATCTTATATCATTCTGTTGGGTGAACCAGTGAAAACTGAAGACTGGCTACTCGGCAAGAGTAATTATTTTCCCGTCGTCCACAATCCGTAACGAATTTATAGCTTCAAGATCGATGATCATCTGCTGTAGTAAACGGGGGGATATTGGTGATATAGTAAAGTGAAAGCTGCACCTGAGGAGATTAATGTGCAGTTTGTATGAAGAGGCGACGTGAACCGGTCCGAGGAGGACGACGAACGCTTTTGGAATGCCTTTGCGAATAATACCCAGAGCACGTCGAATGGAAGAGTGATTGGGAGTGTCGCAATGGTTGCAGAACTGGTATATAAATGATACAAAGAAAAAGTTTTATGAATGAGTTAGCCGTTATAAGTTTCAAGAATAAGAGTTTTCCAACCTCTTCAGTACCCGTTGCAATCGTCACTAGAGCCCACTTTTCACTCAAGTCTTTCATAGACATGAAAGAGTGAAGGCGGCGCACGAGTTCTGTAGCCTGGCAAAGGAATTGTATCAGAATCGTGAGAAGAAAGACTTTTATTTCGTGATTGTGTACATTTTTTTTCTGAGCCTATGCCATTCATATCTAATTCAATATTGATAAGTGAGCAACACAACTACAATATTCCATGGGCAAATTAGTTACTCTCTGGCATTGTTCGTTAGGATTTGCAAAGTACCCGCCAAAAATTTTGCAATAGTCTTGATCAAGATTTTCAGGAGGGCTTTATGAGGTTCATATATCGGAACATTATCTACGCGCACACGCATAATACATTTGGCTACCTCTCTGGCTGCTTTCATAGTCCGCCGGCCGGCGCGCCTACGTCTGTAGATTTCTATTTTGTCAGAGCCGTGAAATGAAATGCAATGAGTAGATTTCTTACATACTAACTAATTCCCGGCGGACTATGAAGGCAGCCTCTATTGCCTATCTTAACAAGTTCGGATCCGGCTACTTCACTTATGGAATACATTNCTGAGCCTATGCCATTCATATCTAATTCAATATTGATAAGTGAAATGCAACACAACTACAATTTTCCATGGGCAAATTATTTACTCTCTGGCATTGTTCGTTAGGATGTGCAAAGTACCCGTCAAAAAATTTGCAATAGTCTTCATCAAGATTTTCAGGAGGGCTTTATGAGGTTCATATATCGGAATATTATCTACGCGCACACGCATAACACATTTGGCTATCTCTCCGGCTGCTTTCATAGTCCGCCGGCCGGCGCGCCTACGTCTGTAGATTTCTATTTTGTCAGAGCCGTGAAATGAAATGCAATGAGTAGATTTCTTACATACCAACTAATTCCCGGCGGACTATGAAGGCAGCCTCTATTGCCTATCTTAACAAGTTCGGATCCGGCTACTTCACTTATGGAATACATTCGTAACATGTGTCAGCATTTGGCCTTCAAGCCTTTGCTTACAGGTATTGTGCGGTCTAGAGTATCTGTCTATCGTGAGCTTTGGCCGACAAATTCCGTACGACCTACACTTATTTTGCTTTTATCTTGCGAACGAGGAGTACTTGCTCGCAGTAGCAGTACAAAATGAAGTTTCACCGCCGTAAATTCTTCACGTGTTTGGGAACGCTGGTTTCGAAATAGCGCTTCTATCGTACAAGACGATTCTGGAAATAAAGTAATGGAAATGTTTTCACTCTGTGCTGAACATATGAGCGAAATAAGGAACGGTCTGTGCTGTGTGAACTTTGCACAATTGGTACAGTGATGGAGTTATCGACTTAACAAAAGAGTTCAAATCTTTGATGCACTGCACATTTTGCTTTCCACAAAATGTGCCTTGAACTCTTGCAAAACAATAAGTAACAACATGTGTAAGGGCAGGTTAATGAGCTATTCACACCATATGTGCCTTAGCATTTCGCAACAGTTATGGCTGGAAGAGTCGCTCTCGACGTAAAACAAATAGCCGCTTCTGTTGTATAACTTCAGAACTTAGGTATCTTGACATCGATTCAGAAGACGAGCTGAGTTGGATGCACCTTTTGAAGCTGGTTTAAGGGGATACTAGCACTAGAACAGAAGCTCGATAGCCATCACGTCATGTAGTTGCTCATTTGCAACGCCTTGAAAAGACTTGGGCATACGGAGTATGAACTCACGACATGAACTGGGTGCTCACTACCTCCAAATGAGTAGAGATCCTGTCTAAACTTGTTGACTTTCCGACGCACCATCCCAGGGCTAGAAGACTTAAACACTGACGAAGAAAAATGTATTCTTAAAGGAAACTCTATGAGTGAGCGCCAGAGACTTGGACGCGTAGATTCTGCAATCCCGACCCCCGAACAAGAAATTCAATTCGGGAAAACAATCTAGCATTCGGAGACATTCGAGAGAATCGATCACTATGCTGCCACCGAGCTCAATTGTCAGCGCCGAAGCGTGCTGTACTCTGATGGATCGCCTTGTTGAGAAGCAGGGGAAGGTCTAGTTTTTCCACGACACACATTGTGAGGGAGATCCGTAAGAGACTACAAAGCCTAGGATGGCATGTTCTGACCCACCAACTATATAGATGACAACCCGGATAAATGACAATAGATTGTCGATAACTACGGTGGGTATACTTGTCAGTTGTTAGTTGTGAAGGAAAAAATAGATTTGAAAAAAATGGAAAATGTGCAAACCCTTTTCCGTCAACCTAATACATATATATATTTATATATACATATGTATATATAAGCCAGTCGAGTCGCCGGCCTACGCTGGGCCCTATATACCTTACTGGATGGGGTGTTCAATATTCAATTGACTCACTCACCACGGTGCTATTATACTTCCCTCCTGGAGCTTAGGTCAAAAAACTGCGTATTCTCGGCTGAGAGAGTTTAATGAGCACAATTACGTGCTAACCTCCCTATATGCTCGCTTTAAAATAACACAGGTACGAAGTAATCATTATTTTTCAGGACCCCAAAATTGAACTGTATGTGAATTTATAGGTCTATTCTCTTTTAGAGCCCATTATCAACCAGACGTACTTTCTCCAATCTTGTCCACTTTGTAAAGTGAATAGCTCATTTTACTACGATGGAAAAAAAGGTGTCGAGTTTCTACAAAAAGTATTAGCAGTGAATTTCTGTTTGGAGTATAATGTGTAACCACGCGGTATACTTGTTCAGGAAGATGCTCAGTCTCAGTGTTCGACTCTGCAACATTCAGTTGATAGTCCGGTAGTCGAGATCGTTTCCCCATACCATGAGAAACGCCTGCTAGCTGTTCATTGAACTCCAAGAGGATATCTGAAAACATTTGATATACTTGTGGAAGATTCTGTTCTGCTACAGAACTCCCCTTAAAATATAATTATGTGCTTTGATAAGTATTCACCTATTTGACAAAGTTTGAACGAGGGCAAGATGTCAGACCATGAATGATAAAGGTATAGGTCAAATACGCAAAAACAATGATAAAACGAAGAAGCGCCAAGTAATCTAGTTTATAAGTAGCATTAGAATCAGCCGATACGAGGGTGGCAGGAAGCGCCTGCCTTCGTTACTGTTTTATCCATTGAAGTTAAGTCTACTCTCACCAGTTGTAAGCTCTCTCACTTCTTACATCACATCATATCAAGTAATATCAAAAGATTCTGTGTCTTCCTCAAGAACGAATGTGGCTTCAAACTTAGAACTCTGGTGTCTCGTGTTATGGGGTGTTCTAGTAAGTAGCAATGATAGGACCAGCACTTCAATAGTAAGACTTTCCTTCTAGGGCTTCAGAACCTTAAATACCTTTTCCCATGATCTCTCACTTCTCAAGGGTTTCTTTACACTACAACAACACTACGGTTAGTGATTGGGACAGATCCAGGAAAAAAAGTTCTTCATATTTCTTTGGTCTTCCAAGGCTATTTAGAGGAAAGCAGTGTAATTCCTTAGAAACATTTCTTGTCAAAGAAACTTGCATTGAGGGTTTCGCATAACTCATACCCTTCTCGGATTGCCGTTTGGCAAGTATTCGCAAACACAGCTGAACAATCCGTGTATTTGTAGTTTTTCAGAGGCAACACTTTCTTCTCTCTCAGTGCATAGCAATTCCGTGAGACGTTTTCATTTACAATCGGAATATACGGAGCTCGGAGGAATTAAGGCAATTTTAGAGTTCATGTACCCTGCCAAGGTCGGCTATCTTCTCAGTTACCCCATCACTGTTATCTCTCTCATTTATAAAGCAGAAACTTGGTGTGTCGGTTTGTAACTTTCTCGGCTTTTCGGTGTGCCGAACTGTCCGTCCGCAAAACTTATGATTACGATAAAGGTGATATGGATTACCTAGCCCTACTCTACCCTCACTTCTTATATATAAGGCAGTAACTGGGTAGGCTGATGAAGTAGAAGTAGTGAGAACTGCGGAGTGAAGTGAATGATGTGGAGTGAAGTGAGTACTTCGAGATTGTAACATCGATTTGTACCGGCATCGTGCTATGTATGTCTTTACAAAAATCGGAGGTGATAATGTGGTTGGGAGACTTCCGCTTTTTTCAACATAATTTCAACATGAGGTGGTTAGCCCACAATTGGGCTCATTAACGTTTTTTACCTGAGAACATGCAGTTTTTTAATCTAAGCTTCAGGATAGAAGGGATACCGAGGTGGGTGAGTCAAATGAATATTCAACTCATACCTCATCCTAGTTTTGCACGAGGTAATCATCCCATCCCCACCCCGCCGTTCCTCCCCTACTAAGGATTAGCTTGAAACCATATTCTTTTGCTTAGAACCGTTTCTGAGTGCAGGTCAGGTCGGCTACATCTTCTCTGCCCTCTAGCCCTCACGATAAAAGCAATGCCTCCCTTAACTACGGTTTCCAAATACTTAGTAAAAGTAAGGAATGAGGCGACCCGGCTAATATAACTATAATACATTCAACGTGGCCTTTCAGTCACCACTGATACTTCAAGTTGTTTTCGACTGTCGTAGTGATTGATGTGCTGAAGGGCCGTGAGTTCTCTATTCTCACTTCAAAAATGAGAAGAAAACTGATCCCTCTTTATTCTGCTCTACCCCTTTTCGGAGCCCCACCTGTTGATATTACTCTCTTTCACCCATCTACCCATCATAGAGATCATCAAGGGAACACGTAGTTTTTGTTGAGAAAGAAAACATATTTTTGTTTTCGTGAGGAAAAAGTTGTTTCTCATCCGTACAACAACAACTGGGGTTCTAGAAAGGCATGATGATCTATCCACATCCCGCCTTACTCGCTCGTCCTTCTTATCATCCTTCGCCTACTACCGGTATATATGTAGTATGCTACTACTATATAACGTACTATGTGTGTCTGTTGGTTTTTTTGCGTGTGTGTTTGACCTGGGGACAAAAAAAACAACAAAGACAATCTGGAGACATTGCGCTGACAACAGATGCTGCGGACTACTCTGAAAGAGAGACTCCTCGACTCAAGATAATTTTCGAAAGGATCGCCACAAACTCAAGTGGCGCACAAGAATCGAAGGAGGGAGCGCGTTTGACAAAATTCGAACTAGAGTTGCAACTTTTAGAGTTGGATGGTCTGGGACAACAGCTCCAATCAGGAGGCTCATCGAAAAGGTGTGGGAATGGGAGTTTTTGGAGTGCCTTCAACTACTACTTTCATTGAAGGAATATGGAGGATGCCTATGGGGTGAACTAGCTGCTTGGTGCTTTTTACGGAAAAGCGAGAGAGACCCTGGGAAGGTTCAAGATCAGCGCGAGAACCGCATTGGCCTAGTTGAAGTACTAGAAGAAGGCAGACGTTGAAGAAGAATTGGCCGCAGAAGCATCGCAGATTGGAACACTTACAACTGTTACATCGTAGTGCCATCTATGGGTAGGTTTTTGCGAACGAGGAACAGTCGTCTTCGAGCTGACGCAGGATTAGAATGAGGTCGTGAAGAAGAGTGACGGGTCAACAATGGAACGACGCGAAGATCGACTCGAGAAATTTCTGAAGAAGACGTGCAATATGGAGACAGACGCTCCATGAGTTTGTCGAAGTTAACGTCAAGACTATCACGGTGAAAGCGCTGCGCAAGACTTTGAAAGGTATTAAATCAGGAGACAATGAGGTAGCGAGACAGGTTTACGAATCTGCCGGAGCCGCAAAATTGGCAATGGCTGTAAAAATATAAGAAGTCGATCAGGAAGTCTGAAACGCAAGATCTGACATTAACAAGATCAGTTACCGTAGCTTCTCGTGTAATGTCGTCAACGCGACCAACAGTTCGACAAGTTAAGAAAAGAAATGAACACGAAGTTGCAGGCCGTGAAGAGAAGGTAGTAATTCTACCAGAGATCCTGTCAATGTTGAAAGCCATCAATACTTGTATGGGCAGGCAAGCGTCACTAGAAGAATTGAAGGGTGAGGGCAGTTCGCAACACCATCATTAGTCGCGTTAGAAGTTGATCCTATAAAAGAGATGCAATCAGCAGCGCGATACGTGCCTATCAGATGGAACTTACGGGCGTGAACCACGTGATTTTCTCGATCGGACATAAAATCCAGGAGGCAAAGAGCCTGGAGAGGCTTTTCCTGAAAGGCTAACAAGGATCGACGTGCTCAAAAGGGAAAAGTGCAGGCTCATTGACGAAGAAATGAAGCTCAAGCAGAAGGTGAGAGAGCTAAACTTGATGCTGGGTGAATGGACAAGAGCACCACGTCGAGGAGGATCACCACGATGAGCACATAGAGATACTTCACCTTGACGACGTCGCAGGGATAACCCGCCAAAAAGCAGTCACCTCGAAGAAAAAAAGATAATGGATACTTTACGAAGCAGTCGTCAATCATGTTGTGAAGGTTGTCTGCATACTTTACGTTCAAGCAATCGAAGCTCATTTGAACAAATTCGTGAGGAAACACAACGTTGGCGCAGTCACGACTCGTCACACGAGCACAAATAGCCGAGGAGCATAGAGAAGACTTCCTATGTAATCATTTGATGTAGTTAGATTCTGCCTTTTATTTTAACTTGTCTATTTTGGTCTCTGCTGTTCGAATTCCTCTATTTTTCTNACATCTTATATAAGCCGCTGTGATTCTATAGTGTAGTGTAGTGTTCCTCACTTCTTTCCGTTGTCTTTTTGGTACACACAACAAAGTATTAATGAAGAATCGTTTGGCAGTATGTATTCGTAATATCAATGTTAGACGATTAAAAAGGTACAGGAATAAATGGTGAACTCACTTGGAATAGTGACGAGGCCATCAATGGTAGCGTCACCTCCTATTGGAAAAGCCGCTCCACGAAATTCGACGTCGGTTCCCTCCCAAAGTCCGCGACCAGCCTGAATTTTGCAATCAGTGGTTTTATGTAATGGATTCCACTTCCTGTTAATAGTCCAGCTATAACATAACATATAGTATAGCTATAACTATAGAAGATCCGTGTCACAGGCTGAATACAGTGTTCGCTTCTAATCCAGAATCCGGATACCAGCCCTGGAGAGCAGGCAAGGAAGGAAGAAGGGTTGCTACGAGAAGCAAGCTCAGATGGAACAAGTTAGGAAGTCATCCTGTTCTTGGTTGCAAGGAAAGGATACTAGCTCGCAGTGGTCATTCAAGATGAGATGTACACCGACGTGAGAGCTTTAATAGTTTCAAGAGCTGATCTCAAATCTGGGTTCCAAGCCTGCGAAACGATTCTGGGAACAAAAATACGGGCCCAGTTTTCCCAAGTGTTATGCACCTTTGTTGCTTTTTCGAAAACTAAGCAGTGATAAAGCAGTGGTGGCGCAGTTGAGAGAGCGACTTATTGGTAGGCGTGACACGGAGGGGCGAATCCTCGATGTATGCGCTTCTTTTGCTTCTTTACAAAAAATGTCTTGGATGCTCTTAAGCATCACATAGACTACCTACATACTTCTCCTTCATATTTATGGAGCACCAGAAATGCTGATACAAGTAAACTTTCTTGTCGCCTTCACAGACTAAGTGGGAGTGTACATTGAACCCTTCTGTTTACATTGAAGGATCAACTTCGTGAGTTGGATCAGCAGGTTTGCCTTCTTCGTGAAGGGTCTGGAGCTTCTGCAAGAAGTACGAGAACGCTCCCCTCACCGTAGATGAGCGTCCACGTCCAATTTGTTGACCTATACCTAAACTTCGCCCATTATATTTGGTTTGTGGGCTTTTTACAGCGAAATAGTGACATTACTCTCGGTGCACCGCCCGTTCCAATAAATGATCCCCCTTGTATGCAGTATTGCATTTGTGCTGATATGTGCTCTGTTGATCTTGCCCGAAGTCCCAGCCATGTGGAAGTTGAGACTCGGGTAGTTTTGAAGTTCGGGACAGATAGGCGGAAACGAATACATTCTATACAGTTACTGGTGATGATGATTTCGTGAATGACTGATGACGATGACCTCATACATAAAATGATTTTGAAAAGTCAAGGACGTCTTTGAAAAGAGTTATGAATCTTCGATCTTGGCTCCGCCCACTAGCGCAAACCCCGCCCACTTCGGAGATTTGACAACATTTCTCCTGTGGCCTCTGCCCACTTACTTTCCACGCTGTAGAACCTTTTGTACAGAATTATGAATTTTTTCAAAAATAACATGCCATTCGTGCATAGTAGGCGGAGCTTTGATATGTTTACGTATGCCCAGCGTGCACAACAATTTGCTCACTCCTTTTACCTTTTTTCGGCCTTCCACGATTTCGTTGAGTCGAGTTTTACCCTCATGTAGCAAGTATGCTCAATGCGAGAACGCTCCGCCCACCGCCGATGAGTTTCCTTCAGTTCACTTGTCGATCCATCCCTCACCTCATGCTTTCCCGGCATCTGGGCTCTTGTGAAACTTAATTCAGGCGTCTGCCCACGACAGAACAGACAAGACAGTGCCCTCAGTGGAGCATGCACAGGAGTGTGCAGTGCCTGAGTTCCATGTGCTATCTTGGTCTTAGGTGCAGCCCATCTCAAACTTGACCCGACTTCTTAAGGTGCTTCCCCAGGTAATATCGAATTTCCTACAAACAGACAATTAAACAAACACACGACAACCAGACAGGCGTACGCGAGCGCGTTATATATGGTATGGCACTAGTGGTGGTGTACTCATTGGAGTGTAGGAATAAATGATTAGATAAAAAAATATTCAGCCCTGAGTTCTTATATTGTTGCGGAATTTGTTGACAAAGTTGAGAGATCGTCTTACTATATTCCTCGAAATTTTGCGATTGCTGAGTCTCTAAGCCCGAATTTGGCTTACTCGATGTCAGACGGAAGCGCTTCGCGTGGTTAGCAAATGTTGTTAGCTATGACAAATCAACTTTACAGCTTACTCTGCCAAAAAGAACCAAGGGAACTGACACCTCTGGGAAGTCACAATTTTCGGATAGAGATTCGTAGAATCTACGATTTTTTGTTTTCTCTCACATACATATATGTATTGGAACGCTAATGCCATAAGACATCGCTGATGAAAGTTGAAGAGATATTTTTGCTGTTTATGAAACTTGTTTCGACTTGATATTTTGTCAACTGCTATTTCGCCGTAGTACGCGTTCGGAAAGTCTCACAAGGTTGCAATTTATGGGCAAAACTTTAATCTCGGACGGGACTCGAACCCGTAATTATGCTTTCCGGGCACCGCGCTCTATCCCTTACAGTACCAAGACCACCACCGTTACACTGTTTGCTAAACTGTTGAAGAGTTTTCTTGTAGAACATGGTTCAGAAGAAGTTCGAAGGGCGTAAGGAAATGCCTCTTCACGCCTAATTTTCTAATGTTGCGATTCTTCTTATGCACACATATGAATTACTTTCCTTAGCTCGAAGCAGTTTCAAGGAATGTCCACTTCAACGAATACTCTGTGGAAAAGGCATTTGTCAGGGTTTCTCGGTACTGCGAGCGAATAGAAAATTTTAGGTTGCCAGATAGGGTAAAAAAAGCAACATTGATGGATTTTCTCATAGGCCCAAACATCGAAGCTCCGGCACTATTTTCCCTTTACTACCCCACTTTGTCGAGAATGGGCTGGATTTCTATCGACTTTTTTTCAAGATGATGAAACCGACCAGAAACTTGCCCAGAGTGGTAATTCGAATATGCCATCCATTCGTCATGAAAATGTCTAGGGCACTACTTAGGGGCAAGTTTTCAGCAAGACTGATGACCCAGCTCCATTTGGCGCCGGCGCCTGTGGCGCGAGCTCTAGGCATCATTATGACGAATGAATGCGATATTCGTGTTCTACATGTAAAATTACACCTACAGGCAAGTTTCTAGTCGGTTTCATTTTCTTGAAAAAAATTCGGTAGAAATCCAGCCCATTCTCGACAAAGTGGGGCAGTAAAGGGTAAATAGTGCCGAAGCTCCTCCGCACCATGTTACTAGCGAGATCCACAGCAATCAACTACAAACTTCAGCGGAAAAACTTCACCCTACTCTCTAGGCAACCTAATAGAATAGAGCATACGCGTCGCTTCTATAGTAATGGTCTGTGGAAAACATACACGCCTGCGGTTTCATGCAGATTAGAAGTTCTTGAGAGCAAATGACATTATTATTGTTGGATCGTAAAAATTTATAAAGGCCACATCATAATGGGATTTGTGTTTGAATTTATATGTTGTACAACACCTTGTCCTTTCAAAACTAAAAAGTACCGTAAGCGCGTCACCCATGGCTCCAACGATGTCGATGTCTTCTGGCGAGAGGTCAGCCAACGAGTCTCCCTAAGACAATGCTGTTAGCATTTTTACGTTCCAATTAGAAACTGTTTTTACTCACTGTGTGGAGAAGAGGCTTTGCACGAGGACATGAAAAGCTCTGCTTACCAGAAAAAGTCTGCGACATTTCCGAAATTGCCGTACCTTCCTGCATCTGACTAAATATTTGAACATGAATAACTGAGATAAATTCTTTACATAATTCTGGGCATGCAAACAGTACATATTTTGATAACTTGTCGGACATAACAATAAGAGCAGAACCGATCTGCTGAAAAAACTGATGCGTTAGTAAGCTGAGTTAAGGAAAAAGGATCTACGAAAAACCGTTTTGGCTAATACATTTGACTGCTGTCATAATTATCTTAGATAGAAGGTCGTTTCAATAATAAAATAATATACATTGCAGTGAATAGGCGCCTATAACTCTCCGAAGCTATCAAAAGTCTCGATCTCCTTGCATGTTGCCTCCATTTCTTCCCCGCCAATCTTGAGCATTGCTTTGAAGGATTCAAAACTAGGACTAAAAACCCAACAGGTTCTCATCTAATCAGGAATTATACAGAAAAGTTAAAGTGGTTAATAGTTCGAGAACAGGAAGACCATTCCTCTACGCTGATAAAGTCGGGCAGCTGATGTCGGTGCCACGCTTGAACAAGCTTGGCTCTGTGGAATAGAGTACCTCCCCGCTGGAAGAACTACGGGCAGTAACAGGAAGCGAAGTCGGATCAATCCTTCGCTACGTCCATCATCACGCTCTTCGAGTACTCGTTTCTGTTAGAATATAATGCAGTACAGACGGAACTACCGGCATCTTAATACTACCTCTGGCGCTTACTCCTCTCTGATGACTGCCTCGTGATTTGCTCGGCGCAAGAACGGATAGACATGTGTCTTGACCTACTCAACACTCAATCTGAGCACATCCGACTGACACGGAAACGACTCTCTGGAATCTGGTCTCAATTTCTGAATTTACAATTCAAAGTGCGTAGCGGGATGCTTTCAACGAAATGGTGCAGGAAGCCCAGCAACAAAGACATCATCATACATTGCCACTCGGCTCATCCGCTTCAGATCAAGCCAGCTGTCGCAAGAAACATGTTCCGTACAGCAGCCAGGTATGGAGCTGAAGGTGAGCGGAACGAATCAGTAAAGATGGCACGCGAAATAGCTGCGTCCAATGGCTACAAACCTTCCTCGACTCCCCACAGGGAAAGGAATGCGGTCATTAGCAGCAGACCCCGTGGTACCTTACTGAATGGCTAAATTCCCTTCATTGTACCGTTCGCCTCTGATGAAGTTAGCACCTCCATAAAGAAGTGCCTGAGGTCGGGTCTAGAAAATCTAGTTGCCATTTCGGATGTGCCACCCTACAACTTAAAGCATTGGCTCTACGACCGCTAATTTACACCCAAAGCTGCGGTCCGTGTCAACTGCGCCCACAGGGTGGAAATTCATCACGGGGCCAAAATCGAGGTCATGGCCTAGTCTTATCGCGAGAATTGCAGACACCGAACGGAAAACTCTCGAAGAATTTTGGATCTAAGTTACTAAGCAAAAATATAACGAAGGGATGAATGCCTCACAATCACTAGGGAACTTAGGCTGTATATAAAGTTGGCCTTCCACCAGTGAGTCTGGATCAGTTCCACCGCAGTGCTTTCTGTACCGGTAGGTGGCCCACCTTACGATTACGGGATGACATCTGAGGTATCGAAGTTCCCTAGGGAAGTAGAGGCGTTTGGTCAGGCAGTTATAAGTCGCTTCGACTTTCCAGGTTCTGGAGATCTCGCCGAAAGCAAGCCATTGATAAAGCATTTTCTAAGCCTCGCTGGAGTTTGAGCAGAGAAATCGACAACTATAATTGATTTGCTATAGTGGTAGGCGGGACCTTATTATTAGCCGCCAAAACACAAAGCTTGATACCTGCTTTTTTCCTCTTCACTGTCTTTGTCAATATCCTCGTCGCTCTTACTCGAGAGCTCCTGTTCTTCTAGAACTGCCGAGCGCGCTTTACTTTCTGTTCGATAGTACAGTACTTTACTAGATGAACGAATTTCACCCTTAAAAAAGCTGAAATAAGTAGAGAATAGGAGACTTTCTCGCGAGGGTATCTGAGTGTAGGCTTTGTGTTGTCCACAATTTTATCCACTTTTTCACTATCATTACGAAAGAAAACAGGTACTCTGCGCGAAACTGCCTTCCAGATCGAGCTATCACGATTACCAGACGGTATCAGATATGTTAACAGAAGAACATGTAGTCATTTAGAGGCAAGCTGCATATGCAACAGAGCTCAGCAGCAACCATTTTTCCACCCCAGCTAGCAGACCTACCTTTCAAGTAATCTTCCTTTTCCAAGTTATTACAACAAGTATTTTCCACCGCAGTATAGCATATAACGACCACAGAAAGGCACTAAAAGCGTTCTGGATTTTCCGAAAAAAAAATCCCAAAATGAACGGTAGAGATGAGTCCCCGTTCATTTCGAAATATGGAAATATGACTGACCGCAACTACATGATCACAGCCTGCGATTAGAGGAAATCTAACGTCCCGTGGACGTGTGACAGGGGGACGCACGATTCGTGC